CTGATTTCAATATGATATCAGAGCTTCAGTGAATCAACAATTATTTGATCTAAGTTTACAATTCGATTGTGGAGTTTCTTCTGTAGAAGCAACAATGTGCAACAATGTCTGATACGACTGAAGAATCGGTAGCTGAAATTGATGTACCAGTAACACTGGAAGTGATTGAATCGAAGAAGAATCATCCTATCTATCTTCATCCGTCAGATACTCTTGGCAGTATTCTGACCAATGTTCAACTCACTGGAGCAGAGAACTACTCACCATGGAGTAGATCTATGGCAATCAACCTCAGGGCAAAGAGCAAATTTGGATTTGTCCTTGGAACTTGTAGGAAATGTGATTATACCCTAGAACTTGCAGAGCAATGAGAGAAGTGCAATGCCTTTGTACTTGCATGGATCATGAACACCACTTCGAATGAGCTATTGAGTGGGATCATCTATGCATCAGATGCTGCAATGGTGTGGGCAGATATGAAGGAGCGATTTGATAAAATTGATGGATCGAGAATCTATCAACTCCATAGAGAAATTTGCACAATTCACCAAGGGAATTCAACTATCTCAGCCTATTTTACCAAGCTACAATTAATGTGGGATGAATTTGATGCAATTGTACCCCCACCTTCCTGCATCTGTGAGAAATCCAAAAGCTATGTGGATCACATGCAGTATTTGCCATTGTTTGCCTTTCTAATGGGGTTGAATGAGACGTATGGACATGCACACAGTCAGATCCTAATGTTGAGCCCTTTGCCAAGTGTTGGTAAGGTATTTGCTATGATAATGGCAAATGAGAGTTAGAGATTCACTTCGAGCATTAAAATTGATTCATCAGTGAATAATGGGAGAGGAAATTACATTACTAAAAAGAAAGTGAACTAGAACCTATTTTGTGACTATTGTCAAATGTATGGTCATACTCAGAAAATCTGTTTCAAACTGGTTCGTTATCCTGGAAGTTCAAAAAGAGAGCACAAGGTGCAGAACACAACTACAATCAATCTAGAGGAATGCATTCAGCTAGATGAAAAGGTATTGCTAACAATGTACAGGTTGAAAAGGGTGATGATGAGTTGAGAAGTGATGTTTTTGGAGCAGTGAACACAATATCAAAACCTGAACAAAGTGCTTATGACTTTCATTCCATTCGCACTAACTTGCAGGCTCTTGCTGCTAGGCCTAACTACACTTCCAGTCGGTATGAGAAGATCATGAAGCTACTGAATGAAGAAGAGGATGCTGGAGCTGTAGATATGGCAACCATGATACTTTTGATGATATTGTCACATGTGCAGTGCCTAATAGAATAAGAGACAATGTAGCTGTCATGAGTGCAAGTAATACACATGATACAAATAAAAAAGGAAATAAATGTATAATTGATTCAGGGGCAACATGTCATATGACATCCAATCTAGCTAATTTGGATCATGTTAATGCATCTGATAAAATTCTAGGTAGGAGAGTATACGTACCTAATGGTCAGACCACCTCAGTTACTTATTCAGGCAGTTGTGGAGTGTTAGACAATGTATTGATAATGCCTGATTTTAAACATGACATGCTATCAATATCTCAGCTAACTAGGCAGTTGAAATGTTCTACATGCTTCTTTCCTGAGTTTTGTGTTTTTCAGGACCTCTCCAATGAAGAGGTGAAGGGGATTGGTAAGGAAGTTGATGATTTAAACTATTTTTCAAATCAATTCTCCCATGAAGGACCAGATAATAATAGTGACAAAGTAATGAAGAAAAAAACGGGAGGTACAAATGGCATGGTTTGGCACAACATGCCGGGTCATCCCTCTATTAAAGTACTCACACAATTGTCTTTAGTAGAAAATGAATCTGATGTTAGGATGTGTAATAATTGTCATGTATGTCCACTGGTGGAGCCAAGACTCGGGTTACAACAGTTGGAGGAGACTCAGAACATTTCCCAGTTGAGATGGGGCTGCACCAGGGATCTGTCCTAAGCCCTTTCCTATTTGCTTTGGTGATGGACGAGTTGACGCGGTCTATTCAGGAGACGGTCCCGTGGTGTATGTTATTTGCGGATGACATAGTACTGATTGATGAGACGCGGGACAAAGTTAATGTGCGGTTGGAGGTGTGGAGACAAACGCTGGAGTCCAAAGGGTTCAGGTTGAGTAGGACCAAAACAGAATATTTGGGGTGCAAATTTAGCGATGTGTTGGATGAGACAGATGTGGAAGTGAGACTTTCCGCACAAGTCATTCCTAAGAAGGAAAGTTTTAAGTATCTTGGGGCTGTAATCCAAGGGAGTGGCGACATCGACGATGATGTCACACATCGCGTTGGGGCTGCTTGGATGAAATAGAGGCTTGCCTCTGGAGTATTGTGTGATAAGAAAATTTCACCGAAACTTAAAGGTAAGTTCTACAGAGTGGTAGTTAGACCGGCCTTGTTGTATGGAGCGGAGTGTTGGCCAGTTAAGAACGCATATGTTCATAAAATGCATGTTGCGGAGATGAGGATGTTAAGATGGATGTGTGGGCACACTAGGAGCGACAAGATTATGAATGAGGTTATCCGGGAGAAGGTGGGAGTGGCCTCTGTGGTGGACAAGCTGAGGGAAGCGAGACTGAGATGGTTTGGACATGTGAAGAGACGGAGTGTAGACGCCCCAGTGAGGAGGTGCGAGGTAATGGTGGTAGAGGGTACGCGGAGGGGTAGAGGTAGGCCCAAGAAGTATTGGGAAGAGATGATTAGACAAGACTTGGCTATGCTTCACATCACCGAGGACATGACTCTAGATAGGAAGGAGTGGAGGTCGCGTATTAAGGTTGAAGGTTAGTAGGGTTAGCGGGTTGTCTTCCCTTGCGAGGGTTTGGGTTGTTAGCGTTTGGAGCAGTCCTAGCCTTATGCTGTTTACTGCGTTTCACTCTCTCTATATCTTTCTTGTTATTGTCTCATTTGTTGATTATACGCTATCTTTTGTATTGGCTGTTATGTTTGCATATATCTCTCTTGTCACTTAGATTTGATGTTCTTGAGCTGAGGGTCTCTTGGAAACAGCCTCTCTACCTCCACGAGGTAGTGGCAAGGTCTGCGTACTATTTACCCTCCCCAGACCCCACCTAATGGGATTTCACTGGGTTGTTGTTGTTGTTGTATGTCCACTGGCAAAGCAAACTAGGCTTCTATTTCCAATCAATATGTCTCAGACTAGCAATGTGTTTGATCTAATTCACCTTGATGTATGGGGACCTTATAGATTTGCTACACATAATGGTCTTAGATATTTTTTTTGACTATTGTAGATGATAAATCAACGATGACTTGGTTATTCTTACTGAAATTGAAAAGTGATATTTTTGTGGTGTTGAAATCTTTTCTAGTATTGGTCAGTAATCAGTTTCAACAGAGAATGCAATATCCTTCTATCTTCTTTGGGAATCATCCATGAAAGCAGTTGTCCACACACTCCACAGCAAAATGGAGTAGTAGAAAGAAAGCACATGCACATACTTGAAGTGGCCAGAGCATTAACGTTTCAAGGGTCTATCCCTATCAAGTTTTGGGGAGAATGTGTCACAGTAACTGTGTATTTGATAAATAGGATATCTACTGAGGTTTTGCAGGGACAGTCACCTTATTAGTATTCCACAGTACCATGCCTAAACTTGATCATTTAAGGACAATGAGTTGCCTAGTCTATGCAACTACACTTGTTAATGAGAATAAGTTTTCTCCTTGTTTGTGTCATGATGGGCTATGCATCTACTCAGAAGGGGTACTTGTTATACAACTTGAGTCTCAAGAAGTTTATATATAGTAAGTAGAGATGTGGTCTTCAAAGAGCATATGTTTCCTTTTAGTAAGTTGCAGGACAAACACATGCCACCTTTTGTTAGACAAGTGTTTATTGATGATGAGTTGCTTGACACACCTGCAGTTACTGATATTCATGATCTTGATCATGTTGTTCCTGATGATGCACATCAACAACTTGATCATGATACATCAATATAAGCAATATAGAAAGAAAAAAATGAAAGAACATGCTCCATTGATGCTATTGATCCAGGTGTACCAAATGCTATACCATATATGACTTGTGGCAGTTGGATGAAAGATTATATTACTAATGCAATTGATTCTGCTGCACACCCTCATTCATTAGCTAATTACATGACATACAAGAACTTGTCTCCTTCTTATCAAGCTTTCTTAAGTGAAATGTCTGCTGAAATAGAACCAATAACCTATGAGGGGGCTATCAAGGATCCTAGGTGGGTGGAGGCCATGAAACAGGAGATCACTGCACTGTAGGATAATGGTACATGGAGTGTTATGAAGTTGCCACCAGAAAAGAGTGCTATAGGATGTAAATGGATGCTTAAAATTAAGTACAAGGCAAATGGAGAAGTTGACAGGTTCAAGGCTAGACTTGTAGCCTAGGGTTATAGCCAAACTAAATGGATCGACTATCAAGAGATATTTTCACCAGTGGTGAAGATGGTGACTGTGAGGACTATTATTGCCATACCAGCAGCTGAGAGCGGGGTGGTATACCAAATGGATGTGTTCAATGCATTTTTATGGGGAGATTTGATAGAAAAAGTATACATGGAACTTCCTAAAGACTTTTCTAGTAATGGGGATAAGCAAGTCTACAGACTCATCAAGTCATTATATGGCCTCAAGCAAGCTTCCAGACAGTGGAATGAAAGCTCACTGATGCATTGACTAAAACAAGATACATACAACGTCAGCTAGATCATTATTTATTTACAAAAGGAAAAGGTTCAACATTGGTGATTGTGCTTGTATATGTGGATGATTTGTTAATCACAGGAAATGACTACAGTTTGATACAAGAAACTAAAAGGGTGTTGCACTACCATTTCAAGATTAAGGATTTAAGTGAATTAAAGTACTTCTTGGGCATTGAGTTTTGCAGATCAGCCCAGGGTATTATCATGATCCAGAGAAAATATGCATTGGAGTTGATTTATGATGCTGGTGTAACATGACTACAAGAGCAAGAGCTTCAACCACTCCATTAGAGTGTAATATCAAGCTCACAAATGCTGACTTCACTCAAGATGGTAATGATGAGTTATTTGCTGATATATGAAGGTATCAAAGGATGATTGGAAAGTTATTGTGTTTGACTAATACTAGACCATACATAACATTCTCAGTGCAATGTTTAAGTCAGTTTATGCAAAAGCCAAAGATATCTCACTAGAATGCAACTTTGAGGGTGGTTAGATACATCAAAGCAACACCAGGTTTAGGACTGCTCATGAGTTCTGAGAAGCAGCCACACTTAGTTGGCTTTTGTGATGCAGATTGGGCATCATGCCCAAATACAAGAAGATCTATTACTGAAAACTTATTGAAGTATGGAAACTCACTCATTTCCTGGAAATCTAAGAAGCAACATACAGTCTCTCGAAGCTCTACAGAGGCAGAATATAGAAGTCTTGCTACACTTACAACTGAGGTAGTTTGGCTACACAATTTATTCAAGGAATTGGGGTTCACTATAGATAATCTTGTAACAATTTACTGTGACAGCAAGACTGCAATACAAATAACAACCAACCCAGTTTTCCATGAAAGCAAAACATAGTGAAATTGATTGCCACTTTATCCGGGAAAGAATTCAACAAGGATTGATCAAGACATGTTACATCAACACTAAGGGTGTGTTTCGTATAAAGGAAAACATTTTCCGAAAAATATTTTCCAATTTTCTCATGTTTGGTTGGGTTAAATGTTTTGGGAAATGTTTTCCAAATCAACTCATTTTCCTCAAATTTAAGGACTTTCCTTCAAAACTTAAGGAAAACATTTTTCAAAACTCCCTTCCAAGTTCAAATTACAATTTTTTTTATAGAAAAAATCAATTTATTTTGTCTTTACTCTCAAACTAGCCCCCAACCCCCTCCTCCCCCCCCCCCCCCAAAAAAAAAAAAAAAACAACTCATTTTAAAAAAATGTTTTTAACTTCAATTTTTTACCCTACCCTCAACCCTAACCCCAACCCCCTACCACCACCACCCCAAAAAAAATATTAAAAGTTATTTCTAATTTCAAGTTTTTATTTTTTTACCCCCACCCGCTACCCTCGCTCCCCTCCACATCAGCCCCCCACCCCCTTCAAAAAAAAATTTAAGTTAGTTTTTAAAAAAAAATTTCAACTTCAAAAGTTTATTTTTTCACCCCGATCCTCGACTCCCCCCCCAAAAAAAATATAATTTAAGCTTCTTTTAAAAAAATATTTTCAACTTCAGAATTTCATTTTTTCAACTCTACCCTCGACCCTCCCCACCCCCCCACCCCCACCCCCAAAAAAAATTTTAAGTTTGTTTTTAAAAAATATTTTCAACTTCAAATTTTTGTTTTTCACCCCTACTCTCGACCCTTCCCCCGCCAGCCCCCTTACCACCCCCCTCCCCCCCAAAAAAATTAACTTCGTTTTTAAATAATATTTTTAATTTCAAAAATTATTTTCAACTCTAGTAAAAATAAAAGATGTTTCTCAAAAACGTTTTTCATTCATAAATCAAACACTAAAATTTTTTTTCGGAAAATATTTTGTACTCACCAACCAAACATGAGAAAATAAGTCAAAATGTGATTCGGGGGACTATATGTGGAGCAATTCAGCATAAATTGATATCAATACCTGAGAAAAACATTTTCCTTCCTACCAAACACACCATAAAGATCAACAGGCCAATATATTGACTAAGGCCTTTTTTTTTTTAGTTAAATTTTCAGTTTCATTGATATAAAGAAAGAGTTACATCATTGGGCCTAATGCCCAAGTCCAAACAGCCGAAGTATTAATAAAGCAAGTAGTAAAGAAAGGGCCTATTTTCGGACATTGTCCTTGTATTTCTCCCAGCTCATCACTTTCCATTAGCTTAGGTTTCCTAATTGCCTCCTTTTCATCATCTCCTCGCCCACCTGCAATGCTCCCGCCGTGGTTGAACCACCATCTGCTCTGGATTGCATTCTTGCTCTCAGCTGACAATAGTAAGAATACTTTTCATCTCGCTCTCTTTTGCTTCTGAACTCCTTGTTCTGACATCTTCCCCTTAGGGAGGTCACAACATGATCTTTTATTGTCCAGGCTAGGTGTCTTGAATATCTTCAATACATCCAGCTTGAGGGGTAGTATCAAAGATAGTGACTAGTTAAGTGGTTAATTAATTGTAGCTAAGTCATTAATGTTCAATTAGTTACAGTTAGTTACATATAGTTAGTTACAAAGTAGTTTGTTAGTGATGTTAACAACCTGTATATATATGTGCTTCATACCATTCATTGTATTCAGTTTTCCCATAATGAAATAGTAGAAGCTTCCAATTCTCTCTTCCTCTGATTTCAATAGCGGCTTAGGTCACTGTGATAAAAAATCTTGAAGTCTATTTGCAACATGGATCTGGTAAGCAACCTATTACAAATTTTGAAGAATTGCTTGCTGCAACAGCTTACAAGAAGTTACTTCAATACTAATGAAATTGATGATTAGAGGGTATAGAATTGATGAATTGACAAATTCTGAAATTTCTGTTCTCCAGCGATTAACATAGGTTTTGCAACTTTGATAATTATGATTTCAATTTTGGTATATTAAGATAGGTAAGTTTAGTGTATTGTATGAATATCATTGTATTTATGACATTGGAGAATTAAATCTAACCCTAGGCTTGAATTGACATCAAGATTTGAGTGAGTTCTTGGGTTAAGCCTGAAAGTTTTTTTCTTTTGGTGCGTAAACTTCAATACTTGTGAAATTTGATGATATGACTTCTTGAATGTCAATATATTGCTAGTTATGAATTTGAATTTTGAGTCTTGAATTAAGGCGTCTGTGTGTCCATGAACTATTCGGGTCCTTGTCTTCTGTCTCTGTTTTTATTCTACTTCTCCTTTTCTTTATTGATGCAGTACAAAATTATAGTTTTCCTTTATATTATTACTAGTAGTGTTGCAGTGTTCTCCAGTTGAAAATTCCTTCAGTTTCTTGTAAGTTACTACTGTATGTTGTTGCAATTTATGGATGCATTTATCAAATAAGATATCCCTTTGTTTATGAATAACTTCTTAAAATTCTATTGATTAAACTTGACCTTAGCTTCATATGTATCTTTTTATGTTGAAGTTTAACTTCTTCTTTTTTTCTCTTTTCTCTTGCCTGCTGACAGACGAGAGTGAAAAAACAGAAACAGCATAGGAAAGCTTTGAAGTTTTATACAGCTTGTTTTGGGTTTAGAGAGCCGTTTCAAATCCTCTGTGATGGAACATTGGTGCATTATCTTGTTGGTAATGGCATAACACCTAATACTGCATTGGAAAATAGTCTTGGCGCCACAGTTGAACTTTTTACAACCAGGTTTATTTCAACAGCTCCATTTGTCTCTTTTCAACAGCTCCATTTGTCTCTTTTCTGCTATGGTCTTTACATGATCTAACTTTGTTTGCACAAAAGTTACATATGTTTCGATTTTAAACTGTTTGGTCACTTCCTGTCTCCTCTTTCCTTCAGATGCATTCTTTCGGAGTTGAAGAACCATGGGAGTCCCGAAGCACTGGAAGCAGCTAAAAATCTTTGTACTGATGCACGGTTAGCCATTTATTCTCTTCTTCTTGATGGCTTCTCTCAAGAGCAGGATGTGTGTTGCTTCAGTTCTCAGGACATTCTTTTGAGTTATGCCACATCTTACTCTATTGCAGATGCGGCCATGAGACACAGAAAAGTGCTGAAGATTGCATAACTGAAGTAATTGGGCAGAACAATGCTCAAAACTTTTTTGTTGCTACTCAAGATGGTGATTTGCGTGGAAGTCTTCGAAAGGTATTTGAACTTACTTTCCTCGATTATAATGTCCTATATGTATTGTAATATCGTCATATCACTTACTAAAACATGTGAACTGGAAAAATCCCATATTTTAGGATGTCTTATCAGAAAACTCTTCGGCAACTACTTAGTGTAATAGTGTTGCATCCATTTCAAAATGCGAAACTCGCAATCTCTGACTTTTGTCAGTAGTCAAAAGATTTTTAACTATCTAAGTGGGAAGTGGTAAAACCAAGAGATCTTTGTGGGAAGTGGTAAAAACAAGAGATCTTTGTGCATCTACAGGACTATATTGTGGCATGTGGGACTAAGATGATAAAACTGTAAAATATTTCTGTAGATTTTATGTACTCGCGAGGGAGTGACCAGAATCTATTTTGTATCTGTAACTCTTATAGCTTGTTTGTAAGATTAACAATCAAAAGTGCTTATTTTTTTCCTAAGTGTGTATTTTAGAGGTTTGAGGTGTTTTACCATACTTTTAGGAAAAAAAATTAAGTGCTTTTAAGTAGCAGTAGAAGCTGAAAACAGTAGCTTTTTCCCAAAAGCACTTCTGAAACCACGACCAAGCACTAATTGCTGTTCTAATATTGACAGAAGTGCTTTTCAATTTGATTAACTAAAGCACAAACTGCTACTCCAAAAATTACTTTTCCAAAAAGCACTTATCACAAAAAGCACTTCTCATAAGAAGGATATTTGAAAAGCTTGGGCAAACAGGTATTACTTTAAAATGAACCTGAAAGACCTCCAACATTTAGGAGAACAATTTATTATGTATATGCCAACTGGCTTTTCTCCTGTTTTTTCTGACCTTTGTTTCCCCTTTCCTGAACCTGGTAGATACCTCGTGTGCCCCTAATATCTGCTCTGGGGAAGGAATTATTTCTCGGAAAACCTTCATCATCTCAACGTCAGTTTGCCAAATCTTCTGAAGAAGAACGTCTTCATATAACTGACCTGGAGGCTCAGATTATCAATACAAATGTTGAGAGCAAGGATAAAGTTCGCAAGAGAAAGAGAGCTAAGGTTAGGGTTCATAATATATTCTTATTTTCCCTTGCACAACTTAAAATTTAACTTGTTGCTTCTCTCATTCTATTAGCTTGTGTGCAAATTGTGATCCTTAAGCTCTGAACCAAAGGTTTTTTCTTTCTCTACGCTAGATGGCTGGACATATATTCGAAATAAGAGGTTATATTTTTTTGTATAAGTGTGATATTATTTCTTATAAGTATACTTCTGCATTTAACGGTTGCTGTGTGCATATCCCTCTCTTAATTGAGTTGAAAAAGATTGAGTGACGGAAATGAATGTATTATGTTTTAAGTGAATTGTTTTGCCTGTTGTTCCTCTAAATTGATCAAGTTGGACCATATTTACTTATATAATATATGTTTCATGGATGTTATTTCCATAATGCATGTTTAGCTGGACACGTTCCTGAATGACTCTATGGTTTATGCCTTCCCTTCTACAGGGTCCAAATCCACTTTCAGTACTCAAGAAGAAAAAGAAGCCCGTGGTTACAAATGATAAGAAGTTGAATAATGATGAGGGAAGTGTGAAAAGGAAGAGGATAAGGAGGAGAAGGAAGACGTCACAGAAAGATGTTGTTGAAGGCATCCACCAGTAAAAGGACAAGAGGGAAAAAGGGTTGCTTTTCTTGATTCTCTATGGTACTGTGAAGTTTTTTTGGACTTTTTGTTGGTGAAAACTGAAAAACCATAGATTAGATGGTTGGTTGACTTGCTTTGTAGGTTCTGTCTTTACTAGTAGCAGCACAGATTACAAGCAACCAAAAGAGACTGAAAAATTAAACAGGGGATCAACTAGTTCATCAAATTGAAAGATTGTTAATGGCTTCACTTAGTTACAACATTATCTGTTGGATTTTTGTCTGTCTGTGTTGCTAGATTCTCGCTAATTAAGCAAGGCATATTTAGGAAATGCTTATGGCTTTAATTAATTTAGTTTAAGGCCTTCAAAGCAAATGCTAATCATGAAAAATAATACTATATCATTAATATAAATTAACACTTTATAATAAGTTAGTTAATGAAGTACTTGTAGTTATTTGTACGAAAATAACATCACACATAATGAGATCTGAAGAATAGTGTATACAAATCGTAAGGTAAAAATATTATATCCGATAGATTCCTAACTCAAGGAAAAAATAGTTCAAAACAATGTGGAAAAATAAATATAGACTTTGAAGGAGTTAGAACAAAATATTATAAAAAGAATGACAAAATTTTGTACAATACAACAAAATAGTACGATAAATACAATACAAGAAACAACAATTAAAAACCAGATGAGTGATCCTATGACTGCTAATAAGCGGTATGATGCTCTATTATACCTACTAATTTTCTATCTTAATTTGTGTCTTCCGTAACCTTTTATCTATTGAAGATGAGTTATTATTGGAATTATTTGTTTTGCACCAAAAACAAATTTTAGTACAAATACTCATTGAAGAATTTGTTTTGTACCAAAAATATTATGCTACGTATATTTTAAAATATTTTTTAAATACGCATATCATGCATAGACTACATTAATATAAACATTTCACCATTCCGCTCATATAATAGTTATGAGTAGCTTATAATGCATATTTAAAAACTCATGTGTTAATTACTAACAAATAAATTGTTATGTAAATGTAATTGCTATGCAATGAATAATAATACAGGATATATTACGAGGAACTTTCGCATATAGGCACTCAAAAAAAGTTTAATTATGCTTCCTAGCTATAGTTTGCTAATTACGATTCGTAGCTACATGTTATAGGGAGGAGAGTGGTGAGCAGGACTAGGAGAGGGAGGAGAGAGGTGAGCGAGAGAGGGAAGAGAGTGGGAGAAAAGTGAATTGTATATGTATATCAGTTAGATAATGTATATTATACATATGTATTTGTAAATTCTGGTGAGAGAGATTGGGAGAGGGAGGAGAGAGGCGAGCGAGATTAGGAGAGGGAGGAGATATGCGAGCGAGAGAGGATAATGATTTTAATAATTTGCATCTCGTTTGTATAATTCACAGGTACGTTTGTATAATTCGCGTGTTTTTGTATAATTGAGTAATATAAAGTTTGAACTTATACAAATATTATAAAACTCGAAATAACAAATTGATACAAACATAAACATATGAACTTTAAACAATTATACAAAATATATATCATACAAATTACATTATATAAATTATTGTATAATGTAATTTATATAATATAAATTACATTTTATAAACATGGGTTCAAGGTTTGTTGAATGCGGTTTTAAGTAGAAGTATTCATGGAATGGGATTCCCTATAGAGGTGTAAAACCGAATCTTATGGTTTCGATATATCCATCTCATAATTATGACCGTGTGAATTAGAGATTAGGCATGAATACAGGAAGAGCATGAGATTTGACTTAGACGTTTGTAAGAGTAGTCATATACTTTAGAGGGAGCTAATGAACTGTAGTAATAAGAAAAGAGAGCATAGTTAAGAAGTGTGGCTAAGATGAAAAGCTACCAGTCATACCACTCAAGTCATAGTATTCATATTCTTACCCAATGTCTGCATACCCTTGTATTATGTCATGGCATGTAATCTTTGAAATATTATGTGAGCATCGTGTTAAGTGTGCTCGAGTCCAGTTTAAAAACTCTTTGTATAAATCAATTCCGCCTGTGTTAGTAGGCAAGTTTAAAAGTCAGAGATAGTAAGAGTAACTCCTTTTCATTCTCAGTCCAACCGTCATTTGAGGACGAATGATCCCAAGGGGAGATATTGTAACACCGTGAAAATTTCTAAATTAAGATTTGAATTATACAAAATGTAATTTATATTATACAAAAAGATTGAATGTATATAATGACAAAACTGAAAAACCACAAGAAATCATCGTCATATACAAATACAAATCAAACAAAGAATTGTTAATTGTGAATTATACAAATGTGGTGAATTATACATATACAAATGTGGCTAATTATACAAACTAGAAGTCAGCCCACATAATTAATGGTTAATGTTAGTTGCGAGTGGTAATTATAGCAAATTATAGCTATGATGAGTAATTAAGTAGTATAAGTTTGCTTAACTGCGTAATTTTTCCTACTTTATATGACTTTTGACAAGCTATAATGTATAACAATGTATACTTCCCACGACTTTTGATTATTTTTTAAGTAAATAAAACAATGCTATATTTATTGTAAACTAATATTTTTATTGTATATATTTAAAACTAGCCCTATTAAATTTATAGGGCTTAATTACCGTTTAATTCACTATCGATGATTTATGCAAACATCTTTTTGTGGCCATTACACACAAAACAATAGATCTCCTTCTAACATTTGCATGCAATTATTTACAAAATGTTAGATCGTGATCTTACATACACTCCTAAGTTTTCAATTTGTTGAAAATGGATTCCATACGTCTAAAAGTATATATCATAAAATGAGGATCATTTACTAAAATAGTTATTCTAGGAACAATATGACGAAAATTTGACGTTTACTAATACAATATATGATTCAATAAATAATAACATTGTTAGAAAATGCAACTTTAATTACCCTCATTATGATCAAATAGCTATACAAAATTTTGTTTAGATTCTTGAACACGCAAAGTATTCGAACAAGTTCACACTAATTATTTAAATAAAAATATGTGGATTTAAATAAAGATCCAACTTTATTTGAAATGAATAATTATGGAACGTCGAAATATCTATTGTTTGGCGTTCTTGAGAAATCAAAATTGGAAGCTTAAGAATTAAACGGGAACAATCGATAGTCGAGGTGTGTGTTTTGATAAATAGTACATGTATAGTTTAGGTATGAAACTCGAAAAATTTGAGTGAATTTGTTTTTGGCCCTTAACAACAAACTGTTAGAATGTATGCGTCCGCCAGTGATCACTGGATCAGGTCCCCTACAGAATAATAGTGCAGAAAATAAATAACTCAAAGTAAATCAAACACAAAGATTTATGTGGAAACCTCCTTACTCAAGTGAGATGAAAACCACGACCTGTACTCACAAGATTTCAACCCAAACTCCATTTCACTCAAAACAGAGCAAACTTTCAGATTACAAATTCTTGTAACCTAGGAATTAAACTCTTAATCCCTTCCCCCTTACAATAACAATTCTACTACAAAGGAAACTAAGCAATAACTCTATTGCCCACTAAATCAACTAACTATAGTTGATCTAGACTTCAAGAACCCAACACGGCTAACTCTAGCCATCGACTACAAATCTCAAAGATAGAAACATAAACAAGCAGAGACTCTGCTGCACCCACACATCAACTAACTCTAGTTGACACTCCTAGGCAACTCTACCCAAGAGAACATCAAAACAATGATGTAAATAGGCTTAACTAAAACATAGATGATTCGACTAACTAACTCTAGTTTATACGACTTAAACTAAAGACTTAGACAAGCACCAGATCCACTATCATTTGGGGCGTAAGCTTTGAGCATAAAGACGTAAGCTCGGGGGCAAAAACATACTCCCTGGGCGTAATTTTTTTTTGAACTTTTTTCGCCCTATATCACATTTTTTATTATTGGTATATTGATATTTCTCAAATAGTAATTATAATACTTTTTTCTGCATTATTGTCTATTAGTATCCATCTCAAATAAAAATCATAATACTTTTTGTATATATACTATAGCTTATTTATTAAATTTATTTGTAAAATCATTAAAAGTTTTACTATTGCTTATTTTCTTAAGTAATAAAATTATAAAATTGAATATACATGAGATTACGCCCCATAGATCCATGAGACTTACGCCCTGTATCTCGGGGCTTACGCTTCACCCTGTACTGTCTAAAACGTCTCGCCTCACGCCCCACCATTTAAAACGCTGGTGAATTTTATGGCCTATTTATGGATGTTCCCAATTCACCAATTTTTTTATACCTTTCTCTAAGTCTTTTACTTCTCTCATCAAACTACTCATGCAAAATCCTATTGAGCACAAACAAATGTTGATATGGCAGGTGACCTTTATAACAGGAAATCCACTACTGGATATTTGTTTACTTTTTCAGAGGGAGTTATATCATGGCGGTCGAAGTTGCAGAAGTGTGTTGCACTATCTACAACTGAAGTTGAGTATATTGCGGCTACTGAAGCCGGCAATGAGATGATATGGCTAAAGCGATTTCTTCCAGAGCTTGGTTTGCATTAGATGGAGTATATTGTCTATTGTGACAGCTAGAGTGCAATAGACTTGAGCAAGAACTCCATGTACCATACAAGGACAAAACACATCGACGTCAGATATCATTGGATTCGTGAGCAAGTGGAGAGTGAATCACTTCACGTTAAAAAGATTGACACAAGTGAAAATCCTGCGGATATGTTGACTAAGGTGATACCGAAAGACAAATTCGAGTTATGCAAAGAACTTGTGGGTATGAGCTCTCTCTAAAGAAATTGAGATACCTCCTTCTGGTAAATGGGACTGGAGGGGGAGATTTGTGGAGTCCATCCCATATTTTTTGGTCAACTTTTGCTACTCAATTGCTACAAGTAATTGTTAAAAAGGATAAATGATAAGAGTTGAAAATAAAAGATTTGGTGGTTGACAAATTGGTAAGATTTGCAATCCTTTGGACTTTGCTATATTTGCCTATGTCATTAGTGACATAGGCATGTTTTTCTCCTTCTATAAATAGAGCATTCTTGCTCATTTGTAGAACACACCAACTTAGAGAGAAAAAAAACCATTTTGAGAGCAAAGTGAGGTATTCCATAGACTATATAAGAAAAATAATCTGTGAAAAAAATAGAATGTGAGCAATATTTTAATAAGGTGGAATCAAAAGAGTGTTAATCCTTTTGAGTGTGTAGTAGTCACTTTGAGTATTGTAGTCGTGACTACACGGTGTAAAATTCTTTACTATAGTGATATCAGTTGCTCCTCTTGGCCCGTGGTTTTTCCCTTATTTAGAAGGGTTTCCACGTAAAATTCTTTGTGTCATTATTTTCTCATTTTATTTCCATTATTTTGACCATATATATTTTTATGTTAGTCTGCGTTTTCCCAACAAATATATCAATTGAAAGTCAACTAAGCGACTAGTCGTAGACATTAAAATTTTATGGACTCTACATTCAATTTGAATTGGGATTCTACAAAGTGTGTTCAATTTCAATTAGGATTCTTGGAGTCTACTTAATATTAAACCCTAGTTATTTTAGAAAAGAAAAGAAAATAAAGGGAGGGAGAAACTACCTGTGCAGAGCGTCGTGGAACCAAGCTAATTCGTGTTAAGGTAAGAGGCTTAACTCTATGTCCATAAAAATAAATTCTAGTGTATTTTAGTGATGAGAATTAGATGAACATGAATTGTGATAGGAGTGGCGACAATTCTTTGGGGAGACAATTCTGACAACATCATTAATTGGATAAGAATGAATTAGATGATTAGAGGGTATAGAATTAATGAATTGATAAATCTGAAATTTTAATTCTCCAGCGATTAACATAGGTCTTGCTTGCAACTTTGATAATTATCGCATTATGATTTCTTAAAATTTTAATGAATTGAACTTGCCCTTACTTTCATATGTATTGCTTATCTTTTTATGTTGAAGTTTTAACTTTTTTCTCTTTTATCTTGCCTGGTGACAGATGAGAGTGAAAAAACAGAAGCGGCATAGGAGAGCTGTAACGTTTTACAAAGCTTGTTTTGGGTTTAGAGAGCCGTTTAAAATCTTCTGTGATGGAACATTTGTGAATTATGTTGTTGGTAATCGCATAACACCTGATACTGCATTGGAAAATATTCTTGGCGCCACAGTTAAACTTTTTGTAACCAGGTTTATTTCAACGTCTCTTTTCTTCTGCTATGGTGATCTAACTTTGTTTGCACACAAGCTAAATATGTTTCGATTTTAAACTGTTTGGTCACTTCCTGTCTCCTCTTTGCTTGCAGATGCGTTCTTGCGGAGTTGAAGAGCCTTGGGAAATCTGAAGCACTGAATGCAGCTAAAAACCTTTGTACTGCACGGTTAGCGATTTATTCTCTTCTTCTTGCTGGCTGGCTCTCTCAAGAGCAGGATGTGTGTTGCTTCAGTTCTCAGGATATTCTTTTGAGTTATGCCACATCTTACTCTATTGCAGATGCGGCCATGAGAGGCGGAAAAGTGCTGAAGATTGCATAACTGAAGTTATTGGGGAGAACAATTCTGAACACTTTTTTGTTGCTACTCAAGATGCTGATTTGCGAAGAAGTCTTCAAAAGGTATTTGGACTTACTAAACTCGATTTATATATGTATTGTAATATCAGTCATATCACTTATTACTAAAACATGTGAACTGGAAAAATCCCATATTATGGTTCACTAGTTGACCTTAGCATGTGGGACTAAGATGATAAAGCTGTAAAATATTTCTGTCTCCTTCTGGGGGTAAGATTAACAGTTCCACACTGTTTGGCAATTTGAATGGTATTTTATGTACTCGCAAGGGATTGACCAGAATCTATTTTGTATCTCTAACTCTTATAGCTTCTCGGGAGTCAAAATTGCTGATTTTTTTCCTAAGTGCGTATTTTAGAGGGTTGAGGTGTTTTACCATACTTTTAGGGAAAAAATTAAGTGCTTTTAAGTAGCAGTAGAAGCTGAAAACAGTAGTAGCTTTTTTCCCAAAAGCACTTGTGAAACCACAACCAAGCATAAATTGCTGTTCTAATATTGACAAAAGTTCTTTTCAATTTGATTAACTAAAGTACAAACTGCTTACTTTTTCGAATAGCACTTCTCAAAATAAGGATATTTCAAAAGCTTAGGCAAACAGGTGTTACTTTATAATGGACCTGAAAGACCTCCAACATTTAGGAGAATAATTTATTATGTATATGCCAACTGCCTTTTCTCCTGTTTTTTCTGACCTTTGTTTCCCCTTTTCGTGAACCGGGTAGATACCTGGTGTACCCGTAATTTTTGCTCTGAGGAATGCATTATTTCTCGAACAACCTTCATCATTTCAACGTCAGTTTGCCAAATCTGCTGAAGAAGAACGTCTTCATATGACTGACCTGGAGTACAATATGCTTAGACAAATGAAAAAGAGGAGATTGTCGTCCGATGACAAACAAGGGGATTCTTCCGTTGCATCTGAGGAAAAGATAATTGATGTTTCACAGGCTCAGATTATCAATACAAATGTTAAGAGGAATGGAAGTGATGTCAAGGATAAAGTTCGCTTCAAGAGAAAGAAAGCTAAGGTTAGGGTTCATATATATTCTTATTTTCCGATCCCTTGCACAACTAAAAATTTAACTTGTTGCTTCTCTCATTCTATTAAAATACTGTTGTTTAGGAACAAATTCTCCACTTTCATGTGAAACGTTTCATGAATGATTGTTAGGATACAAAAGTTACTCCGAAAGTTGCTTGATTCATAAAGAATGATTTTTCTTCATCTAGATTGATAAGTATCTTTTTATTTTAGCTTGTGTGCAAATTGTGATTCTTAAGCTCTGAACCAAAGGCTTTTTCTTTCTCTAAGCTAGATGGCTGGACATATATTCGAAATAAGAGGTTATATATTTTTTTGTATAAGTGTGATATTAATCTTATAAGTATACTTCTGCATTTAACGGTTGCTGTGTGCATATCCCTCTCTTAACTTTGAGTTGAAAAATATTGAGTGACGGAGATGAATATATTATGTTGTAAGTGAATTGTTTTGCCTGTTGTTCCTCTAAATTGATAAAGTCGGACCATATTTACTTATATAATATATGTTTCATGGATGTTATTGCCATAATGCATGTTTAGCTGAACACGTTCCTGAATGACTCTATGGTGTATGCCTTCCCTTCTACAGGGTCCAAATCCACTCTCAGTACTCAAGAAGAAAAAGAAGTCTGTGGATACAAATGATAAGAAGGTAAATACAGATGAGGGAACTGTGAAAAGGAAGAGGAAAAGGAAGAGAAGGAAGACCTCACACGAAGATGTTGTTGTTGAAGGCATCCACCAGTAAATCTTTTGCCCGACTGGCTTAATGATGATCTATTAAGTTATAAGTGAAATGCTGATGCTGATGCTGCATCGTAATGAGATAATTTTCTCTAGAGCACCATATAACTGAAGACACATGAGTTATTTCGCGAAAGCGCCAAAATACAATGTAGAAATTGTTAATTGCTTTAGAGTTTACATGATCTGCTGTTTTTCTCTTAGAACTTCCAAGAATTGATAATGGTTGATTTTAAATGCATCAAGAGTTTCTTTATTCTCAACTAAATACATTGCTTGACCAAAGCTGAGGCAACAATTAGAAAATCACCTAGTGTTTGCCATCTACTGCTTTTTATCTTATGACTTCCAAAAATTGACTACGGTTGATTAATTACTTGGGAGTGTTGTTTCTTCAACTAAATCCATTTCTTGTGTTGGTCTATGTATGATATTTACGAGTTTGTTCCCACCAGCACATGTACCAGACAACTCTGCCCACCAAAGCTTAGGCAAATGAGAGTATATAACCGTGTGTTGTTTCCACTCAGTGAGATTTGAACCCGAGATCTATTGTCACTTTTGCAGGAGGAATTTTGATCAATGGATAACTATCAAGCATAGTACAATTTTCCAGGGAAACACTATATTTATCAAAGTGTCTACTAATTGAGAGGCAACAAATATTATCAGGAGAATAAAGGGTGTATTGCAATTGTGATCAATTTTGGATTTTGTATGACTTTTTGCCCTTATAATAACAGTGATGAAAGTTGAAACATGATATTTAGTTGGAATTACATTACTGTTTTACCTTTGTATACTTCTAAAGCAAAAACACGCATCAACGGAAAGATTTTTAATTTCATTGTCAAAACTCAAATACGAGATGTCTAGTTAAAGGTGGAATACCCTTTTGATTTTATCTCATCTTGTTGTCATGTTTGCTAGTTGTTACAAATAAGTTAACCACTATTACAAATACTTAATTCGATATTATATAATATTATACGTTGTTGTTGGTACACAAAATTTAAACTTATAAGACATTACACGAGAAATTAGGCACAGAAAACAATTGTTGACATAGATTTAATTTTTTTTAATTGTATAAGAAAAAATTGTGGTCACAAACTTGTTCAATAAAATAATATAGTTGTGATTAATACGTGAGCTATTATTATCATCATTATTATTTTTACCATTATATTCATTATTAAGAAACCATTAGGAGTTGGCCAGTAAATAATATATACAATAAAGGTATACCTAATCAATTACATCTTATAAAATTGTATGGAACATACTGGATTGGTCGGTTTGATTAGGGCGTTTCTTAATAAATAACTTTTACTAATGAGTTTTGTGACACAACAGTCGATAATATATTAATCATCTTGATAAGGTTTTGGAAGGCTTATTTTGTCCAGTAGGTTATGAGTTCGAACCTTTAAAAGTAGTAGCCAATGCCTACATAAGGGTATAATAGTCTTTTTCTCTCTTATATCCAAAATTTTCATGAGATAATTTTTTGTCAGATATGGAATTGTGATACTTAGTGCAATGACCATTACTATTGATGGTTTTTCTACTTAGTTGGAAAAGATACTTTTTTTTTATATACTAGATGGTGGACATCCGTGCAAGCACGGGCCTAACATTGTAATAATTGACACTATTATTTTTTTCGTCTCAATTTATATGAATTAATTTAATTTGATACAAATTTGAAGAAAGATTTTTTTTAAAAAAATTTATGGTCTAAAATAAATGATAATATTTGTGTGGCTGTAAATCATTTCATTAAGATAAAATGATTATTTTAAAGTAAATTTTTTACTTAATATAGAATATTTTATTTTTTTGAGCTGACTAAAAATGAAAGTAAATCATATAAATCAAGACAGAAGGAATAATATTTTTCATTATCTCTGTTTAGATGGATATTAAAATGAGTGAAGAAATAGATGTATTAACTTTGTCTTAGTACGAAATGATAGAGCAGGAATCGATACATGTTTCATTCATATAAATCAAGGGAAAATTAGAAAACTAGTCACTATGTTATTATACTGTAATTTTTTTAAAAAAAAATACCTCCATTATCCCTCTTTCTAGGTTTTACCCCAAATAAGTCCTTTCTCTCTCTTCCCTTTTTCACCATTGTGATCTCACTTTCTTGTTCAAGAAAATCAACTCTTTGAATTTACTACACTTCTTTCAAGAAATCTCGCAATTAATTCAAAAGATTTTTCACCCATTGATAAAGGTAAATTCGAAGTCAACAAGTATTTTGTGAGCTTTCTTTTGATTTTGTTATCATATTCACCAAGTATTTTGTATTTCAAATTTTCCGTCTTTTAAACACTATTATTCGATTTTTTTTGTGATTTTGTTTTCATATTTGAGATTTAGGAGATTGTAGTAATCTACATTGACATTCATACATCATATATTGTTTGATTTTTTAAACATTCATATTTAATAATTTCGAATTTTGCTTATATGGTTACTAACGCACAAGTGAATACGGATTCAGATTTGAATTTGGTGAACAAAAATTCGGAAAAAAGGAACATAGCAGATGAAGAAGAAGAAAGAGAGAGGGAGAGAAGAAAATTGCAAAAATTGTATTCTTACCAAATGTATTCATATTAATTTTTTGTTTATCAGTTGTTTTTCTTTTACTCAGTAGTTGTATTTTTATTAAGAACATTGTATTTCTTTTTTAGTTTCTAGTCATTCCAATAGATATGCCAAATGCATTTGTATTACTTAAGCATAGATGTATCCTATTTTTTACACAGTCAATTTATATATTTTTTTAGAATATTGTATCCTTCCTCAACATATTGTATTATTCCAACTATGTATGCTATTTTTTTTTCAAAATCTTGTATATCCTTATTTCTTTCACAGTGAATTCGTATTTTTTTTTAGAATATTGTATCCTTCCTCAACAGATTGTATTATTTCCACCATGTATGTCATTTTTTTCCAGAATCTTGTATCCTTTCATAAATCATATTAATATGTAATGATTAGATTATATTGGGATACAATCAGTAATATCTTTCTAATACAAATAAAAGAAAAATATATTTGGCAGTATGTCCCACTTCTTGATGTTCTTAATTTCACCATCCATGATTAAGATCTTGATAAAGGAGAAAATGAAGATTGAAACTGTTGATCCAATCGAATGAGAAAGGAGATTTTTTTGAAATTGTAACTGATGAGAATTTTAAGTGGTATGTCTTTTTTAAATATTATCTCTCCGTGTTTTTTCCTTTCTATTATTAAATAATTGTATTATTGCAAATCAAACAAATAAAAAAAAACATAAATCAAATGCATAACAAATTAAAATATTGACATTTTAAATAAATATTAAAAATGTGGCTAAGAGATCCTATTAAATGTCAAAATATTGACATTTTGAAAATTTTCTCAATAATATACACAAACATTAACTATGTCCACAGATTCACATCAAATAATCACATCATGTATAATAAAAAATGAAAATATATTAAAAGAAAACTAATGCGTAAAGCCTTAAACCGTAAGAAGATAAGCGTATGGAATAGATGGTGATAAGCTTTCAATTGTTTTGATAATCCTCACAAATGCAGGGATCCGGCGGTTCTCTACAAAGTGTCTCGTCCAAGAGCAATGTGTTGTACAGCTGAAAAGTTGTCCTGTCAGCGGGTTGGTGAAGTCGTCAACGTACTTCACCAATAGAAACAGACCAAATTGTTTGTCCAATGGTCAATAACTCTTTTTGGTTGATATAATCAAAATGACAAACAACAAAAGATTTATTCATTCAAAAGAGAGAGAAATCAAGCATCAAACAAAATATACAGCAAGGGACATGATCAACGCAAGAAGTGCTTTCTGTGTAGGCTGTTTATTGTGAATGCTTGTATTGTACTAAACTTGTAGGATTCATTTCAATCTTGTTAGAAACATTTCAAATCTTTGTGTGAGTCATTGTAAGAACATTGTTAGAGTTAACTTTGTGTCTTACGGTTAAAGTCTATATTAATTAGTGATGATTAATATAGTAGGCAATAGATGCATTACATAGGCTCAATAAGTAATAGGTTGTATTACTTAGTGTTGAGATTAAGAGTTTAATCTCATTGTTGGTTGTAATCTGTGTTTCACTTTTGCTTGAGAAGATTAGTGAAAACAGTTGAAAATCATGTGTGACAAATCGTGATTTTACTCCCTTGAGTAAGGAGGTTTACAAACATAATAATCCCTTGACAGATCGTGGTTTTAATTAATAATCCAAACATATATAACTTGACAAACAAAAAGGCATAAAAACAAATCCAAATGTAAAGTCTCGTGTGTTCTCTTTACTTCCAGTATTTATTTTTGTTCATCTTAAATGAACTAAAGGACTTGGTCCTATAATAATTAGTGGACACAAACATTCCATCAATTGGTATCAGAGCATGACTTCTCTGGTTAACACCAAGAGAAAGAAGATCTCAAAGGAATGACTGCTCCACCAAATATTAAAGAAGGTCAATCAACCACTCGTCCACCTAGATTTAACGGCCAATACTATGGATGGTGAAAGACCAGGATACATGATTACATTATGGCGGAGGACAGTGAACTGTAGGATGTAATACTCGATGGGCCTTACGTTCCTACCAAGGAAGTGAAGGAAGTAGATCTCACTAGAGTCATTCTCAAGTCCAGAAGGGAATACAATGAAGTTGATAGAAAGAAAATAGAAAAGAACTATAAAGCTATAAAACTGCTGGTCTGTGACATTGGTGCAGATGAATGTAACAGGATCTCTGTGAGACTGCTAAGGAAATCTGTGACTGCTTGAAAGCAGCCCATGAAGGGACAACTCAGGTCAAAGAGTCCAAGGTGGATATGTTGACAACTCAATATGTGAATTTCAACATGAAGGAGGGTGAAACCATCCATGACTCAATTTGCAGTAGATCTATAACGGATTTTTAGCTCTGTTAGTTAGGAGTTTCTGTGGGCTGC